GCTAGGCTACCTGCTTACCCCATGTGCCAGTGTCCATACTATAATACCACTGAGAATGCTAGCCCAATACATCACGTTATTCTTAATGGTATGCCAGCGTGGTACAGAAACCTATAGTATAAGTGACTGTGGTAAAGGACACCAACAAAATATTGTATTCTCCGTCCAATGCTAGTGGTTGCATTAATATTGTCATCAGGGGATAGCTAATCCATTTTATGATTAAAATGCTTAGGATTTATTTTGTCTTCTAATATTGTAATCTCTGACAGCTGATTTTAAAATGTTGTAAATTGTTCTAACAAAAATGTATCTTCCAGCCTCAGACGCTCCAGCTAGATTTCCTCATGAAGATCCTGCCCAACTACCATCACATGAAGAAGACTGCCAAAGGAACCTCCACCCCTGTCAGAAACTAACCTCTGACTAACCGAAGATCAGCATTCCCTGACGCTCACCAGACCTTAACAATGAAAGGTGTAGAGACTGAACTTGTCCTACACCAGTTGTCCTACACCTGTTGTCCTACACCAGTGGTCCTATACCAGTGGTCCTACACCAGTGGTCCTATACCAGTGGTCCTAGACCGCATAAGAAGTAGTTTCTCTCCTCTGAGGCATGAGAGCACATTTCTAGCTTTTCTCACTTCCCAATCATAAGAGAGAGCCCATATTCAGCACTCCATTGGGTCATTAGCTAAACCAATAGTAAAACAGTTCCTGGTTTTCTTTCATATTCGTCTATTATCTTGCTCTTTTTTTATTGTAGATTATTATTTTTTTGTCTGTTCAAATGTCATATGTTGTTTTTCTGTCTTAATTGAGCAGATTCTGTTTTTATGTTAATATATAAAGGATATTTTTCAGCTTTGGTTGTTGTGAAATATAAAGCAATTCAAAAGAAACAATGAAGATGGATTCATTCTTGTGTGGTTGTTCACAGACTAGTATAGGCCCTGAATGTATGTAGTTGTATGTAAACAAAGTATAAAGCTGGTGTTGATTGCTTTTTCTAAGCTGTAGGGAAAGCGTATTGCGCCACATAACGCTCCGTTTAGATTAGACGGACGGTAGGCTCAGTAGTCCATGGAAGATTTGCTTGACGTTTTTTTGACGCTATTTGTGTGATTTCCACAAGGAGGTGCCAGTGAGGGATTTATCGCCTATTGTAGCTTACCCTCCACCCATATCAGTCACAGATACATTAAACACACACTGGTCATGAGACTAGCCACGGGTTGATCTTATTCGTTTAGTGGACTGTTTTTTTAAGAAGTCAAGAAAGCATTTTCTGATATCTAAACAGGTTAGTCTGATTGTCTTTCATCTGATGGGGGGGGTGTTGCCATTTATAAACTAATTTAACACGATTCAAATACAATTATACTACCTCCTTTAAAAGTAGGAATACAATCCCAGAACATGATATCAAGCTCAAATTATACTACTAATCTGTACATATTCAATATTCATTGCAAATTCATGCATGGGTCATTCTACGAATAGAGTGGCTTTCGGGTAGAGTAATTTTGTGAAAAATAGCTATTTATTTGACCTAATTTTAACATTCTGTCATAAAGAGCACATGTTCAACTTCATAACTATTATCTCAAGAAGTTAAATTAAGAAAGATTACTATAAAAGTGACAGGGTTGATGATTTAATCTTAAATCAGCCATAACACCCCTTGTGACAGGGAGCTTGTTGTGTGCAACAGGGAGGGGAAAATTTAATGCAAGCTTAACAACAATATTTGAACTTTACAGGGTTGACTTTAAACCTGAGGGACAAATGTAAATTCATCACTAATCACATTTAAATAAATAACAATCTTCAGAAATTCCTTTCTCAAAGCAACAAAATAACTAGGGCTTTACAGCAATGGTGACATTTTGGGAGTTAAGTGGGTTAAAATCTTCCTAGATGTTGGACAAACATGGCGTGGGACATTCAGAGAAAACAAGTAATTTATTTGAATAAAAACACACTATTGGATTTGAGTTTACTTTAGTTAAAGTGCAGATGTATGTGATTCAACTGTTAAATTGAGTGTTTTATCAAAATGTACACACATAATGTCCGGGGGACATGAAAGGCACTCTATTCGTGGAATGACCCAAATACTCACAAGACTTATTACACAGTCTTTGTTTGGACCAAAGAAACTAGGAGTGGCCGACACTTTGCCGAAGGCGTTAATCTTCTAAGGCAGCGTGACATGGTGCTTCCTATCAGGGGTTGTCAGAGAGGAGCCGTGCGCTACAGGCCAGCACAGTGGGAGCTCTAGATATACAGCTGGTACGCTGTGGTGGGCAGGGTGTGGCAGCTATCCCTACTCTCACTACGGAGCAGGCGGAACAATGGCTGCCCAAAGGCTGTTCGTTAGAGCCCCTGCTGGTGTTCCGAGGCTGTCATAGAGCCCCCTGTGTGGTGTTCCGAGGCTGTTCCATAGAGCCCCCTGTGTGGTGTTCCGAGGCTGTTCCTAGAGCCCCCTGCGTGGTGTTCCGAGGCTGTTCCATAGAGCCCTGTGTGGTGTTCGAGGCTGTTCCATAGAGCCCCGTTGTTAACGACAAAT